AATTCCCATAGTTTTAGTTAAAATTTCTATGCTAATGACTTCAAAATCTACAAATCTAGCCCTAATTTCTCTCCTGAGCTCTATTGCTACATCTCCAACTACGTCCTGAAATCTGCCCCCAGACATTCTACAGGCATCTCAAACTTGATCTGTTCAAAATGAAATATTATCTTTACTCCACCCCTCCACCCCAATGCCATCCTGCTTCCCAAATTCCCGAAGTCTTTTGAGGAAGGAATCATTTTTCTAGTCTCCAAAGTTTGCAATCTCAGAGTCGTCCTTTACTCTTCCCTCTCCTTCATTCCCTATGTAACCAATGAGAAGCCAGTCTTGTCAATTTTACCTCCATATTTCTTGCATCCCTTGCCTTTTCTCCACTCACATGAGCACCATCCTAGTTCACACTGGCATCCCTTCTCATCAGGACTTCTGTACTGGGCTCCCTCCTGCCTCCAATCTCTCTCCTCCAATACATGCTCAATCCAGTTGGTAAATTGATATTCCCCAAGGACAGGGCAGACCATGTCAAGATCTGGATCCCTATTACCACCGGGAAAAACAAACTCTTCTGCTTTACATTTAAAACCCTCTACAATCTGACTCCAAACCATCTTTCTAGACTGATTTTACTTCCTCCACCTTCCTGTACTTTCTCTACATTTCCATCAAAATGTCCTCCTTGTTTCTACATCTATATGCAACATTCTGCCTCTGTGCTTTTGCAGAGGTTGTACCCCATGCCTAGAATGCTTTCTCATCTCAACTCCATTTAAGCCTATTTCCTACTTTCATTTAAGGATCAGCTCATGTGCCATCGTTACACAAAAGATCTTCCCTGATCCTCACAGCTGTTACTGCTCCCCTTGAGCCCAAAATTATTTTGCAGTTATCTCTTGGTATCTCTTATTGTATTTATTTTTCTATGTAGATATTATTTTCCCCAGGAGCACGTTAGCTGCTAGAGGGCAGGGACTGTTTTGATTTTGGTCTCTGTGTCCCCAAAACACTAGTCACTAATAAACACTTGTTGAATTTAATTGAATCAGATCCCTTTTCTTCTTTATGGGAGGGAGTATACTACAAAGCTATGGGAGAAGGCACTAACAGATAGGGAGGTGGCATGGAAAGAAAGAATGTTGGATTGGAAGTAAGAGGGCATTGGTTTAAATCTTCCCACTCCCAGTTTCTACCTATATTGATTCTGCTTTTATAGAACAAAGAAGCTAGCAGAGAAGGAAGACAGATTTGAAATGCATTCCTAGATTTTTCCTGAGCTAATTTATTTAACTTCTCCAGGCTTCATTTCCTCATCTGTAAAATGAGGAGGTTGGAATAGAGGATGTCTAAGGTCCTCAGAATTAGGTAGATGGCTCAGTACATAAGGCACTGGGCCTGGAGAAGACCTTAATTCAAATTTGACCTCAGACACTTACTGGCTGTGATTCTAGGCAAGTCACTTACCTTCTGATTGCTTTAGTCCACTGGAGAAGGAAATGGCAAACCACTCCAATATCTTTGATAAGAAAACCTCATATAGGGTCATGAAGAGTCAGACATTATTGAACAATAACAAAGGTCCTTTCTAGCTTTAAACATTTCTACAATTTTTTAAAGAAAATGAAGGTGACAGACATCAAAGAAAAATGTTTCATAAAAGTTGGTTCTAGTTAAGAGCTTAATCAATTCTAACTTTTACTTTTTTGATATTTAAATTACTGTGCCCCAACACCTCAAAGTCTGGAGAGGCAGGCAGGTCTCAGGTTGGGCAGCTATAGGTAAGTCTGAGCTATGTGGCGCATAGACAATGGGTCGGGGCAGCCTAGGTGTTATGGAGGACACAAAGCAGTCTAAGACATAATCTCTGCCCTAAAGGTATTTCCAATGTATGTTAGGTGATGGCATATATGTCTGAAAAGGAAAAATATTCCTCATCAACAGTCATTTATCAAACACCAATTATGTACAAGGGACTATGTTAGAAACTCAAGAAAGTATATACTAAATGAATGAGTAGAACAAACTGTGATATATGCAGGAGTGGACTGGCAAATGTTTAACAACTGGCTCTCTGAAAACAAATGTCCATTTAAAAATTTAATCTGCATTATTAACATTTCCCCATCCCTTTCTAAAGCTTAGACAATCAACAAAGCAACAAACCAAGCCCGGATTTGTAGTGCTTGTGTAGTTCTGAGATGTAAATGCTCACAGTGAAAATTTAACCATCAGCTCTGGAGATCAAGCCGTCTCCCTCCAGTACACTCCTGGCGATAGGAGCTCAGTGGAGCGTGAGATCAGAGTGGTCAGGGAAAGCTTTCAGCGAAGTTTAAAAGATGGATGGGTACAGATTGGTGGAGAGAATAAGAAAGACATTGAGTAATAGGTAATTCTAGAGATTCAGAATGTTAAAGTAACTCCCCTCGCCCCAGAAAAGCAATTCATCTCTTTTTAACATCACTTCCACCTCTTCTAATCCCAAGATTTTCAAGGTTTACTTTGAGTGCTCATCTTATATGAAGCCTTCCTGATTCCCCCCTAATTATTAGCTGAGATTTACAAACACAAAAAAATGACAAGATCTAAATAAAGCTAGCAAATATAAAGCATTCACTTATCTGTGGACATGTCCTTTCTCTCTCCTCTAATGTAAGCTCCTCGAGGGAAAAGGCTACTCTTATTTTTTGTCTTTGTCTTCCAGAGCCTCACGCTGTGTCTGACACATAGTAAGTACTTAATAATTGTCCCTGTTGAATTGAATGTTCATGGCCAGAATAACTCAAAGAAGGAAGGAAATAAGCATTTCTTAAGTGCCTACTATGTGCTAGGCTTTGTGTTTGTAAATATTATCTTATTAGATCCTCACAACCCTGGGAGGTAGATGCTGTTCTTATCTGGTATTATACAGTTGAGGAGACCGAGGCAGACAGAGGTTAAATGACTGGCCCATGGTCACATAGCTACTAAGAGTCTGAGATGGATTTGAACTCAGGTCTTCTGTACTCTTGGCCTAGCACCCCATCCATTGCATCATCCAGCAGCCTGGCTGAACAAAGGATGCAAAGAAATTTACTGAGACAAAAGGATGTCAAGTTATTTTCAGTTTTAGCAATTTAAGATGCTGATGTTAGTACAAGAACAATGACCTTTGAAAAATACTTTTAGATTTCATAATATGCCTTGCATCTGATAAATACAGAAATGTAAGTAGAGATTTCTAATCAGTTTTATAACTAATATATAATTCCTTTAATAAGCACAAAGGAGAAAAAAACCTATAAAACACTAAACTTGGTTAAGTATTTTAACATTCTAAACCTCTTCATCCTTCAACCGTCTCCAAGTTCTCCATTCCTGGTTTTGGATATTCATTGTGCCAACCCGACCTCTGGGTGTTACTGATGATTCTGTCCTTACTAAGCCTGGGTGGGGAATAGGGGTGGGGTGGGGGTGGTGCCTAGATCCCCTTGAGGCACAGCGCCAGAGTGGAGAGAGCCCTGGATTGGGATTACCAGATTCATGTTGGAGCCCTGGCTGTGGGATCTTTGACACATTCCCTAACCAGCCTGTGCCTCAGTTTTTTCATCTCTAAAACAGCAGTAATAAACCTTACCACATTTAACTCATAGGATTGTGAGCTTCAAATGAGATAACATATGTCAAAGCGTATGTGTTGTGTAATATATGTCCATGATTCCAGTGTGCTGAATCTATTAAGATATGACTTAATAGGAACAAATGTAAAATCCTATATATGGTTAAAAAAAATAAACTGCCAAAGTGCAAGATGAGAAACACAGTGAGAAAATAGTTTGTGTATGTGTATATATATAGGTATACGTATGTGTGCATACATATATATGTATATATACACATATAGGTGTATATATGTATATATATACATACATATATATGGTTTTACACACACACACACACACACACACACACACACACACACACACACACATAGGACCTGGGAGTTTTAGTGGACAGTAAGCTCAATATGAGTCAACTACATAACATGGCAACCAAGAAAACCAGTGCAAAAATAGACTTCTTAATAAAAATAAAGTGCCCAGAATGAGAGAATTCAACTGTTGGAGATCTTTGAAAAAACTGCAGAAAATGGTCAGACCATAGATATCTAGAACATTCAGTTCTGGGCATCATATTTTGAAAAGGACATTGACAATATATGAGGTGTCCAGAGAAGGATAACCATGCTACATTTGGGTTTTGAAAGAACCTAGGATGTTTCACCTGGAGAAGAAAAGATTTCAAGAGGGGGAGTGATAGCTGAATTCAAAGAGTTGAAGGTGTATGTGGAATGGGGTTTAGATTTGTTTTACTTGGTGCTATAGAGGCAAAACTAAAAACAAAAGGTGGAAGTGTTGGAGAGGCAGATATAGGCTAGATGTAAAGAAAAATTTCTCAATACAATTGACAAAAGTAGAACGGGCTGACTTATTAGGTGGTGAGTTCCTCATTGTTATATGTATTCAAGTGAAGCCTGGATGATAGATGATTATGGCCGTTTTAGAGGGTGTTCTTGTTCAGGTATGGATTGTATTATATGACTTCTGGCGTCCCTTCTAACGCTAAGATTCTGTAATTCTATGACAAGGAAGAGGGAGATAGCAGGGCATTGATCCTACTTTGCCAACTTTATAATTTTGCCTGGGGCCGTGGAGGTTGGTGGGACCTGGAAAAGCCTTACAGGTTACTTTCCCAGTTCTCCCAAGTCTTCCCTGTCCACGATAGTCTAGTTTTCTGTGGTTCAGCCTTTTGTTCATTCCAGCATTTCCCTGCCTAGTTTCTCTCTCCCCTTTTGGGAAGAAGAAGAGAGAAAAGAAAGGTTAGTTTCTTATTCTCCTGAGACTCTCTCCCTTGGCAGCTCCCGTGTCGCCTTTGTTTTTACTGAGTACTAGGGAGGGGGCCCTCTTAGATTGCAGCCCCCTCCAAATGGAAAGGGCTCTTGGGTACACTCCAAGGATCAGACTTACTTGGCAGCAGCATCCTTTCTCAGCTGTTCGTGCTTCATTAGGAGATTTTTTCGGTCCTGAAATGCCTTCCTGACCTTGTACCCTTTGTAGACAGCCTGGATTTTGAAAGCAGCAATGTCTTGAATAGCTGCTATTGACAGAGCTCCGTGTTCCAACATGAATTGAATTACTTCATGGTGCTCCCCAAGCAAAGCATAATCAAGAGGTGTGTACCTAAAACAAGAAAATGATATTCAATCGTAAGAACAAAGTAATCCAAGTTGCATTTTGGTTAATAAGTCTAGATTAGTGATAATAATGAATCCCCTGAAGTACCTGAATGCATTCAAATTCACACTTTTCCAAGTTATAATTATATAAAATGTGATCATTGGTTCCAGCCCATTGGAAATATGCAATTCAAATCTGAATAATGACACCACTTCGGGAGATTCATTATCTCCAATAATAGGGATCTAGCTGTCAATGGAACTCTCTGCCTAGCCCCTACACTCAAATTGCAAAAATCTATATGACACCCTACGAATTCCCAGATTCTCAGCTCCTGGTTTGAGCCTTTCTTCTTATTAGACTGGAGTCAGAGTGCACAATTACATTCATGTTTGAGGAAAGGTAGGCCAATGAGTGGTGTAGCCTGCTAACTCAGGCTGTTTCCATGCATTTCATTTCTCAAGATTTGTTTGGGGGAAGGATGGGAGGGAAGGATGGAAGAAGGCAGAAATGGCCACTTAGAGTTGGCAAAGAACACCAGAAAAATGATTCTAGGATTTCTTTCTTTTCTTTTTCTTTCTTCCTTTCTTTTTCTTTCTTTCTTTCTTTCTTTCTTTCTTTCTTTCTTTCTTTCTTTCTTCCTTTCTTTTTTTTGATTCTAGGATTTCTAATGTAACCTATAGCTCAGAACCCCAAGCTCTGGGACTACATGGACCAGATTCAATTGTAGAAACTTTTCAAAAAAAAAAAATCAGACTTTAATGGAAGTCTATCCAGTCCTTTAGACTTAAATCACTACCCGGTGATCTCCACAGAAGGGAAAAGAACCTGAAGTAGAAAGATGGTCCCTCTCTAGTGTGTCCCACCCTCTCACAGGGACCTAATCAGTCTTCTAGACTTACTGTACTACCCTAAGGGTTTAGGCTTCCCTGCAAGAAAATTTTGACCTTAAGGTTGCTATAGAATCAACTCCATTTTTTCCATAAGACTTGCTCAGGCCACATAACTCATGGCAATGATGGAGGGCAAGAGTGTGCTCTTCCACACTGTGACTCCTGGATACTTTCTCCCTCTCTTCCCTTGGTATCTGTGGCAGCACTCTGTCAAAGAGCTAGACTGTGGAGAGCATCGAATGTCAGACAAAAGTGTTTTCAAGTAGGTGGTTTGCTTGGTTTAATGAGTCCCTTTCTTATTGCTGTGTATGGACCCCACCTATAACTTTCCATGTCAAGAAATGACCCCAAATATCCCAGAGCTGATCTCCAGGACACCCTGTGTAAAGCGTGCCTCATTCAGTAACAGGATGACAGTCTGTGTTTTCTCTGCCAGCAATTCTTGCTTGGCTTCTGGGATATTTCATTTTTTGCCTAGATGTTCCTATGTTTTATTGACATAGGAATAGATAAAACCCATCTTCCTTTAATTAGACTGAGCCAACTTAAGGGTTAAAATTTTATTTGCTAAGGAATTAATGTAGAAATTAATATCAAACATCAAAAGGTATGAAAATCTGAGATAGCTATTTTTACGTAGATGTAGAGATAATCTTCAGTTAACCCTGTCTGACCTTGCCCAAATCCCTACTTATTTCTCCTGGGAAAGTTACTCCTCCTATTTAACCGTTCCTTATGGGTATGAAAGAGAATAAGGTGTCAATTCTTTAGGCTCTAGTTAGCCCCTTGAATCCTGGGTTCCTTTGGGATAAGGCGTTATTTATCTCAGGCTGCATTTTTCAAATCCAAGACATAAATCCCCGGGGGGAGAAAAAAAATTTTCTATGATGCATTTCTTCAACCTCCTCCTCATCAGTACTAGCATTTCTATAGTACTTTAAGGTTTGCTAAGCACCTTACATATATGATCTTATCTGATACCATAACTAAGGGACTGCAAAAGATACCTTGAGAGAGAGAGAGAGAGAGAGAGAGAGAGAGAGAGAGTCAGACTTGAGTTCAAGTCCTGCCTAAGACATTTATTAGTTATGTTATCCTGTGCAAGTCACTTAACATCTCCCAGCCTCAGTTTCTTCATTTGTAAAATATCTCAGAGTTGGGAAGATCACATGAGATGTAAAATATGTAAAGTGCTTGACCAACCTTAAAGCATTGTCTGAATATCAATTGTTACTGTTACTGCTGCTACTCCTACTCCTGCTGCTGCTGCTGCTATTACTACTACTATTGCAACTATTATTGCTGCTGCTGTTACTACTACTGCTACTGCTACTACTATTATTGCTGCTGCTGCTGCTGCTGCTACTATTTTCTATTTGTTTCTTAGGGTTGCTTACTACTAGTTTCATGTGAGAAACAAATTACATTTTGAAATAAGCATGGAAATAAAAGTCCACATGATGGTATAGAAGCAGCCAAGTGGCTCAATGGATAGAAGAGTGAGGAAGACCTGAGTTCAAATCCTGCTTCAGACACTTACCAGCTATGTGACCTTGAGCAAGTCATTTACCTTCTTCTAGCCTGTTTCCTTATTTGTAGAATTGGGGGACTTGATTCAATGGCTTCTAGTATTCCTTCTAGCTCTAAATTCTATGATCCTATTATCATATGTAGTAGATAAAAGATGAGTCCTGAAGCCAGAAAGACTTGAGTTATAGTCCTGTCTCTGAAACATACTAATTGCATCTCCCTTGGATAAATTATTTAACTTTTTAGTCATCCAGGCAATTCTCTAAGGCTGTAAATTGCTGACATTCAAAGTTAGAGGGAATTTCCATCTCAAGGAGTTTTTCACATCAATAAATCACAGATTTGGACCAAACCAAAAAAAAATACTGAAATAAGGAACTAGATCAACTTTTAAATAATTATAATATATATAATGTAAATTTGGGGCAGCTAGGTGGTACAGTGGATAGTTCACTAGGCCTGGAGTCTGGAAGATTCATCTTCCTGAGTTCAAATCTAGCCTCAGACACTTATTAGTTGTGGGACCCTGGGCAGGTCATTTAACCTTGTTTGCCTCAGTCTCCTTATCTGCAAAGTGAACTGGAGAAGAAAATGGCAAACACTTCAGTATCTTTGCCAAGAAAACTCCAAATGGGGTCACAAAGAGTCAGACATGACTAAAAAACAAATAGTGCAAATTTATTTTCCATAGCCTTTCACATACCAGGTGTTCCAAAAATCATAGTACAATTTTAGGCTTTAAAGTTCGGAATGCCTTGTTCAGTGTATAGGTATGGTTATCATAACCTGGTTTATATAACTTCTGGTTATAGGGCTTAACTTGGTCAAATTTTGTCTCTATCTTCAGAATACCTGTCATCTCGTTCTATGGAAAACAGAACCACATAGATCAGAAGTTCAAGGTTCATTCTGCTACTACAGAACAAAGAAGCCCAATAGAGAAGAAAAGATTGAAGTGCATTCAGCAGTTGACCACACTATGATTATTGTCATGGAGACTGTCTTCATTCCAAATTCAACTCAGCAACATTCAAGCACAGTGAATATTACCACTGGTATCAGAGTGTGGCTGTCAGGCATTTATTGACTGAAAGCCAGCAGCAGTAGACAAAAAATGATGCCTACATAGTCCATCAAGTGAAATGGTTAGTGTCAATGCATGAGAAGGTAAAATTAAGACCTCCTTGATGGTAACTAGGAAGGATGCAAAACAGATAAAGACAGGAAGAGGGGACACAATTGGACTTGCCACATAGGGATTGGTAGATGAGATGATAAGAGAGCCTAAGCTGAAATGTCAGGAAGAATAAAAAGCAAAGCCAGAGCACTGAAAGCCACACATCTTGGGATGTACCCGATGGAACATTAAATGGACCTGGGATGCTGCCATTTGAATTTTATAACTATAGGTTGGCAAGGGTAAGCAAGAGGATTTTTTTTCTTCTTTTTCTTGGGAACTTTCCCTGCAATTGAGGCATGTTGCCTATGCTGGGGACAGGGGGAGTGGGATAGGTTGGTAAATTGCCTTGATTCATGTGGTCTCTTGGTCAGAACTCCCCTTGGAAAAGTCCCTATTCCTCTGTGGGTCAGTTTCCTTATCTGTGAAATCAAATCATCATTTCCAGCTCTAAGATTCCATGACTGATTTCAGTTGTTTCAGCTGTGTCTGACTCTTCATGACTTTATTTGGAGTTTTCTTGGCAAAGATACTGGAGTGGTTTGCCATTTTCTTTCTCCAGCTCATTTTACAGATGAGGAAACTGAGGCAAACAGGGTTAAGTCCAGGGTCACAAATCGAGTAAGTATCTGAGACCAGATTTGAGCTCAGAAAGATGAATCTTTCTGACTTCAGGCCCAGTACTCTATCCACTGTGCCACCTAGCTGCCCATGTATGGTAGTGTGGAAGAAATGTATAAAACCTGTGTCCTGTGAGTTTGGGGAAATATCTCCCCAGAAATTGTAGCCTTAGAGGCCAATGTAACACATAGTGTTGCATAAAGACAGATTCCTGGTCTGATTCCATCTTGAATTGATGATTTATGAAATTATGAAATGGGTAAAGACATGCCCAGTTCTTTGGGTACTCACTGGGAAAAACCATGATGGCAGAAGGAAATAGGGCTGTGATCACACAGAGTGTGATTATATAACCACAGAGTGTATGAGAGCAAACAGCACAGAAATATAGAAACAAGTGGTGGCTGGTTGGCCCCCTTCATTGGTTCTTTGTTCTTGAAGAGGACCAAAATGACATCACTATGTTAGAGTCAAGTTAGAATGTGTCCAACTGTGACTGATCAGACCAACACAAGCTCAGAATGCTCTACTACAGTTCGGGCACAAATAGTCCATGTGAACATTTGGGGTGGTTTCTCTAAATTTGTGCATGAGCTACTTCACAGGCAGGTGGTGTGGGGACAGGGGATGGAATGGTGAAGGAAGGCAGGAAGCATGAGGAAGAGTATGGCAGGGGAGTAGAGAATATTACTTTCACAACCATGGATTGAAGTGGGGAGCATTAGATAGCATGGACCCCATGGGGATGGAAGAATGTTGGGGAAAGAGGCAGTAGTTTGAGGTCTTCTTTTTATAGTTTTTTTTTGAACACACTAACTTATCTGTGTCATCTTGGGGTTAGTTCACTAATATTTTCAAATCATCTCAAAGTTGTTGGTAAAATTTCAAAGTTAACACATCCACATCATCTCAAAATTACCAGCTCCTTTTGGGCGATCTGCTGGTCTTTACTACAGAGGTCTGGAATTTGTCTGGCATTTACAAATCATAGAACAAAAAGGCTCTGACAGCAGCACTTAGATGGCTTCCCCTGATTCAGCACAAATTATCAGAATGTGAATACTGGTTAATATATAATACAATATGTAAATTATGCTTCTTTGATCTTTGGGATGGTTTGTACGTGACTTCCAGGTTCCCCTTTGCAATCTTATTTCATGCTATTACCCCTTTATACTGGTTACTTATAAACTTACTATACTGACTAGAAGTGTGTGTGTGTGTGTGTGTGTGTGTGTTGGTCAGAGGAACCAGGACAAGATACAATTTTAACACACATCTCAAAAGGAGGCCTCTAGTACCTTAGACCTAGACCTTGGGTCCCACCTAGATATTTTAATGGTCTGAGATTCGCTACAGGGAAACAACCTCCCTGGAACAGACCAGATCTTGGTCAACACAAAGGTTCCTCCAAAGTTAAGACATTCTCCATTCCTCACCCACATCATCTGACATCTTGTCCCTGTTATGCACCTTCTTAAAAAGGAAGGTTCCCCGATAGCCTTATTTGATAGGCTCCTTTTGCCATCTGTTCTAAGACTGTATAAAATCCTACATATGTTTTTATTTCCCTCTGTTCTACAAAGTTGTAGCCACCTGGCACTGTTCATCAACTGATGCTAATTAAACTTTTTATCTCCTAATCTTGCCTCTTGATTTATTGACCTCCAGTCAAGCCAAGGTGGAAGGAATTACTCTCAAGGATGATCTTAGGATCTCTGGGCTGAGGAATTCCCCAACAATAACTAAGACCTGAATCACAATCAGATATTTTTCACCATGTCCTTGTTTTCATCAACAACATAACTGACATTCAGACAGTTTATAAAAGCAAACAATGAGCTGTAAATTATTTTGCAAAACAGGAAAGAAGCACCTGAATTCAAGCTGGTACCTCAGCTACAGCCCTTCTCTGATACTAATTGTGTGACCTTAAGTTATTTAACATTTTCAAGTATCAGTTTCTTCATCTGCAAAATGGGGATCATGTACAGTTGTTGGGGAGAGAGAACTTTGTAGATAAATCTTAAGTCTTTTTACAAATGTTAAATTGTCACTATTGCTACCATTGCAATTTTTATTATTCCTGGTTCATTCCCTTTCCTTCTCCCTTCTTTATTGTCTTCAAAGAGAAAAAGTCCTATCTTTTTCTCATTTATTTGTTCAGTCTGAGATTCCTGGGCATCACTAGATCAAGTGAGTTTCACTTATGGTCAAAATTCTTTTAGGAGAGAAAGCAAGCTATAATGGAGAGAGTGTTGAGTTGGGAGACCTGGGTTTTAATGCTGGCTCTAAAACCTATTAGCGTTGTGACCATAGGAAAGCCTTCTAACTTCTCTAAGCCTCAGTTTCCTCATCTGTATAATGGGGATACTTACTGCTTGTGCTTTCTGCCTCACAGAAATCTTGTAAGGAAACTATTTTGCAGTGGTCTTAATTATTCAAATGAGATACATTGATTCTTTGGTGTGTGTCTTTTACACAGGCAACCTGGCGTATTAGTGGATTTTTCATCTGCTGTTTCAAGTAATTGCTGTGTATTGGACCTCCTAGACTTTCTACTCCCCTAATGAATGACTATTTTTTTTTTTACCAGTCCTTGTGGGATGCAGAGTCACTGGTTCATAGGAGGAAGAGTATGTGGGTGGTCTGCCCAGTCTTCCCCATGCAACTAAACACATTCTTTGCATTTTATTTCCAGGTAAACTTTAGTTGTAGATGGGGAGAAGGGTTGGGGGAGGAAGCTCAAATTATCTCCTGGAGAGTAAGGCAGAGAAAAGCAAGAAGAAAAGATATGTGCTTCTCTCCATTTTGGCCTAAGCTTTCCTATTCTTATTGCTTGCTAGCCCATTTAACTGGATGCTACATTATACCTTTTCCTCAATTTTGGTCTGAAAATCTCAAACCCTGACCTTAGTTTTGCTCCCTGGATTCAGAGTAGCCCCACATGCTCTCTTTCTGTACTCAACAAAACTCCCAATCCCCCCACCTCTGATCTGTACATCATACACCCTGTATGGGCCACACCCTGCAGGCCTCTCTTGACTCACAACTGATTGACATTCTGGACCTCTGCTAACTCATTTGTAAACTAAGACAAGACAAGCTGTAACAATCCTGTGGTTCTCAGTTGCCAGTGTAGGCAGAGCTGACCACAGTATTCTCTCACCCCTTGTTCAAGATCTCCTCAGTGTCATTTCAGTTGATGTCAATATCGTTAATTTCTCTTTGACAACATGGAAGCCTATGCTTTTGTTTTTTGGGTTTAATCTAGAAGCATGAGTGTGTATTGAGCAGGTTGGTAGGTCTTCACCAAGATTTTACCTTTCTTCATTGTTTTCCATCTGATTGGGAAAAGCCGCAAAACTGAGTAGCAATTTTATAGCATCTAGGTAGCCGTTGTTACAGGACCAATGCAGCGCTGTTCTGCCCTGTGAACAAAGACAAAAAGCAAACACTCCTAAAGCAAAAGAGTGTTTCGGGTTTTAAAAGAATGTTATTATGCCAACTTAAAAAGATAGATATCTGCATGCATATTCAATTCAAACAGCAGAAACGCTTAGGAGTGGGGGTGAGGGAGGGTGGAGAAGAGAAGGGAGGAATAAAGAAACCAGGTCTCAGAAATACTGCTTTTGATTCAATTGGAAGGAAGGAAGCAAGAATTTATTTTTTTAAATTTTTAAATTTTATTTTTATTTTTAGCAAGCATTTATTAAGCACCTATTATGTGCTAGGAAACAAGCACTAAGAACTTTACAAATATAATCTTATTTGATCCTCATGTAGGCGCTATTATTACCCCCATTTTACAGTTGAGAAAGCTGAGGCAGGCAGAAATTAACTGACTTGTCCAGGATCACAAATCTAGTAAATCTCAGAGGCTGGAATTGAATTTAGGTCTTCCTGAATCTAGGATTAGAGAATTACCTTATCTGAGGGATAGTCTTTTTAAAAAACTCTTGATGACGGCAAATCTTTCCCCTTGGGTCAGTTTCAATTTTGTTTAAATAGCTAAAAGATAGTCAGAGTCAATTTTGGAGAAAAAGGTATGTAGGTAATCAGGCTGGGTAATACTTCTTGGGTCCCACCAAGGTGATACAATAAAGAATGATTTTTCTTACATGACTCCTGAAACTTGCCTTGGTGGCTGGTTTCCCAAAGTGACTACTTGGTTGGAGACCCATGGGATATATAAGCTCACAGATAGGGAATGGAAACTGAATTTGGAATTTGTTATTTGTTGTTCCGTCATTCATATCTAACTCTTTGTGACCCTGTGGACTATATCACAGCAATACTGGGGTCTTCTTGGCAAAGATACTGGGGTGGTTCCATTTCTTTTTCCAGTGGATGAAGGCAAACAGAAGTTAAATGACTTGCCCAGGGTCACACAGCTAGTAAATGTCTAAGGCTGGATTTGAATTCAGATCTTCCTGACTCCAAGCCCTGTGCTCTATCCATCGAACCAACTAGCTGCTCAATTGAGCAAATACCCTCTGCACACGTAGATCAGCACCTTCTCTTCAACTCATACATAGTCTTAGAGCTGCCTAGAGCACTGAAAAGTTGGGTGACTTGCCCAAGGTCACAAAACCAGAATATGTCCAAGGTGAGGTTTAAACTCAAATCTTCCTGGCTTTGAGGCAGCTCTTTCTACTATACCACATTGTCTTTCAAATTCCACTAAGCTTTGGAAAAACAACAACAAAGCACTCATTTTACAATATCACATCCAAGTATGTTCTTTCATTTGACATAATTGACGTGTTTCTGACAGTTCTTGTCAAATATGAGTCGAACAACAGTTGTTAGGTTTTGTTTTGTTTTCTCCCCACTGTCTTCTACTGCAGCCCATTCTCTTCATTTCTGATTGTCCTTTGATGAAAACTTGGACTTTAAGCTTTCCTGTCTCTGAAGGTTTGTCAAAGAGTAAAATGTTTTCTTTGTATAAGCACCATGTGCTTGCACTAATAGTCCAGTTACTACAGCTTTACAATCAACTTTGCTCCCCTTCTATTCTATAGCCACCAGCCTATAGCAGAGATCACGACAAGACTAGAAGCTCCTTGAGGGCAAGGGCTATGCCATCTTTGTATCCATCCCTCACCCTTACAGTGCCTAGTGTGCTTGGCATGGTCACAGTATATGCTCAATAAATATCTGTTGAATGGATGAATGGAGAAAAGATAGGTTACGGGCAGAGCCAAGAGGGCAGATTAAAGGCAGGGACTTGCCTGAGCTCTCCCCCAAACCCCTCCAGATACCTTTAAAAAATACTCTAAACAAATTCTAGAACAGCAGAACCCAAAAAAGATGGAGTAAAACAGCATTCCGGCCCAAGACAATTTAGAAGGTCAACAGGAAAGGTCTGCTGCACCAGGGTGAGGGAGAAGCACAGTCCAGCACAGGCTGTACCAGCACAGACTGGGCCTCAGCAAACCAGGAGCTGGCCTTGGGAGCCACTGAGTCAGTAGTGGCAGCAGCTGCTTCCAGAGCTCTCAGCCCACAGATGATAAAGGGGGTCAGAATGAGATTACAGGGGTCGCTTTGCTCTCACTGAGGCAGTACCCTATTGCTTTACCCATACTCAGATCTGGGTCATGGTACTGGGTGGCAGTCCCAGGGCAAGGAAGAACACTAGCAGAGCAGAGCTTGTAGGCCACAGTGAAGCAGGGACCCTCCTCACAGTTCCAGGGCAGAAAAAATGACCTGTGGTCACTCACAGACCAGAGCACTGGCGAGGAGAGCAGTAAACATCTCTCCTTAGATCATACTACTTGGCAGAACTGAAAGCTTACAGGTCCCTAGAAGTATCTCTGAAAACAGCTGCATAAAACCCCTGAAGCTTGGGACAGTGCACCCTCTACCCTGGAAGCCGAGCCCTACGTTAACAAATAGTTAAAAGTCAAGTAAGAGGCTAGAAATATGAGCAAACAACAGAAAAAACTCTGACTATAGTAAGTTACTATGGTGACAAGGAAGATCAAAACACACACTCAGAAGAAGACAACAAAGTCAAAACTCCTACAACCAAAGCCTCCAAAAAAAATATGAATTGGTCTCAGTCCATGGAAGAGCTCAAAAAGGATTTTGGAAATCAAGTAAGAGAGAAAGAGGAAAAATTGGGAAGAGAAATAAGAATGATTCAAGAAAATAATGAAAAACGAGGCAACCACTTGGTAAAGGAGACATGAAAAAATACTGAAGAAAATAACACCTTAAAAAGCAGACTAGGCCAAATGATAAAAGAGGTTAAAAAAAACAACAATGAAGAGAATAATGCCTTAAAAAACAGAATTAGGGGGCAGCTATACGGCACAGTGGATAAAGCTCCGGCCTTGGAGTGAAGAGGACCTGAGTTCAAATCCGGCCTCAGACACTTGACACTTAATAGCTGTGTGACCCTGGGCAAGTTACTTAAACCCAATTGCCTCACCAAAACAAAAGCAAAAACAATAACAAAAACAAAAACAAACCAAAAAAAAAAACCAGAATTAGTCAAATGGGAAAGGAGGTCCAAAAACTCACTGAAGAAAATAATTCTTTACAAATTAGAATTTAACAAATGGAAGCTAATGACTTTATGAGAAATCAAGAAACAATAAAATAAAACCAAAAGAATGAAAAAATAGAAGACAATGTGAAATATCTCATTGGAAAAAAACAACTGACCTGGAAAATAGATCCAGGAGAGATAATTTAAAATTTTATTAGACTATCTAAAAGCTACAATAAAAAAAAGAGCCTAGACATCATCTTTTAAGAAATTATCAAGAAAACCTGTCTGATATTCTAGAAACAGAAGGTAAAATAGAAATTGAAAGAATCCACTGATCACTTCCTGAAAGAGATCTCAAAAGGAAAACTGCCAGGAATATTATAGCCAAATTCCCAGGTCAAGGAGAAAATATTGCAAGTAGCCAGAAAGAAACAATTCAAGCATTGTGGAGCCACAATAACACAAGATTTAGCAGCTTCTACATTAAAGGATTGGAGGACTTGGAATATGGTATTCTAGAGGGCAAAGGAGCTAGGATTACAACCAAGAATCACCTACCCAGCAAAACTGAGTATAATCCTTCAGGGAGAAAAATAGATATTCAATGAGATAGAGGACTTTCAAGCATTCTTGATGAAAAGACCAGAGCTGAATAGTAAATTTGACTTTCAAATACAAGAATCAAGAGAAGCACAAAAAGGTAAACAGAAAAGGGAAATCAAAAGGGACTTAATCAGGTTAAACTGTTTATATTCCTACATGGGAAGATGATATTTCTAACTCATAGGAACTTTCTCATTATTAGTGCAGTTAGAAGGCGTATATATAGACAGGGCACAGGTGTGAGTTGAATATGAAGGGATAATGTCTTAAAAAATAAAATTAAAGGGTAAAAGAAGAATATACTGGCAGGAAGAGAAAGGAAGGAGTAGAACGGAGTAAGTTATCCCACACAGAAGAGGCAATAAAAAGCTTTTACAGTAGAGGGGAAGGGGGAAGAGGTGACGGGAATGAGTGAACCTTATTTTCATCAGAATTGGCTCAAAGATGGAACAACATACATACGAAATTGGGTACAGAAATCTATCTTACCGTACAAGAAAGTAAAAGGGGAAGAGGATAAGAGAAGGGGGGGAAATGATAGCAGGGAGGGCACATACTCTTTGACTAAAGAGTATTTTGATTCTAGAATCCATCAAGGTATGGTAGATAACCTGCTGGACTTAGAGTCCCAAAGACCCAAGTTTAAGCTTGTATCCTGGGAAAAGTCACTTAACCTGTAGGTGCTTTAGACTTCTCTCAAGGATTTATTGACTAAGTCAGAGAGATTGTGATTTCTATTGCTGGAGGGAGCTCCCACACTGGGAGATCCTCATGCTGACAAAAATCACAGATCCTCCTTTTATTTCCCATTTGGTTATAAAAGCATGCATACCCTTTGACCTAGCAATTCCATTACTAGGTCTGTATCCCAAAAGAGATGAAAAACAAAAAGGAAAAGGACCTATATATACGAAAATATTTACAGCAGCTCTTTTCTGGGGGCAAAGAATTAGAAATTCAGGGGATGCTCATCAACTGGGGAATGGCTGAACAAGTCGTGGTGTGTGATTATGATGGAATGCCATTGTACTATAAGAAATGATGAGCAGGATGCTCTCAGAAAAACCTGGAAAGACTTGCATGAACTGATGCAAAGTGAAATGTACTGTGTACAAAGTAACAGCAATATTGTAGATGATCAGGGGTGAATGACTTAGCTATTCTCAGCAATACAATAATCCAAGACAACTCTGAAGGATTTATGATTAAAAATTCTATTCATCCCTAGAGAAAGAACCAATGGTGTCTGAATACAGATTGAAACATACCTTTTTTCAACTTTTAAAATTTTTCTTGAGACTTTTTATTTTTTGTCCATGTTTTCTTTCACAACATGACTACTTTGGATATGTTTTGCATGACTACACATGTATAACCTATATTGAATTGTTTGCCTTCTCAATGGGGGTAGGGTGGGGAAGGAGAAAGGGACAGAGTTTGGAACTCAAAGTTTTAAAACAAATGTTAAAAATTGTTTTTACATGTAACTGGGGAAAAATAAAATACTAAATGTCAAAAAAAAGATGTCATGACTTGAACATTTTAATGCATATTATATATAACATATGGTCATCTAGGTGGTGCCATAGTGCAGAGTACCAGGCCTGGAGTCAGGAAGACTCATTTTTCTGAGTTCAAATCTGGTCTCAAACACTTCATAGCTGTGTGACCCTGGGCAAGTCACTTAACCCTGTTTGCCTCAGCTTCCTCATCTATAAAATGAGCTAGAGAAGGAAATGGCAAACCATTTCAGTATCTTTGCCAAAAAAAACCCAAATGGGGTCATGAAGAGTGGGACACAACTGAAGTGACTGAATAACAATAACAAATATATAACATCTTATACAATATGGCATCATATAGTCATAATTATAGGTGTATAATTAAAATTATATTATTATATATGACATTTAATTATTCAATTTTTAAAAATTCCTAAGGAAATCTCCAAACATAAGAATGATAAAACAAACTGAATGTATTACAGTAAAAAAAAAAAAAGCACCCAATCCCTACCTCTTTGTCCTGTATGTTAGGGTCTGCATTATTTTCCATGAGTAAAGCCATGCAGTTAATGTAGCCTCCATATGCAGCACACTGCAAGGGGGTTCTTCCTGCATAATCTTGCACATTTGGATTGATTTTATTTTCAATCAATATTTGACAAACATCAGCATTTCCTCCCAGGGCCGCCCAGTGAAGAAGAGAATGGCCATCTTGGTCCACTAGATCGACCCTTGCTCCACCTGTAATGAGAAAGAAAAATGATATTTAACACACCTAATAAGTAGAAAAAAGGAAGTGTGGTATAGGGGATAGAGTACAGGCCTTGGAATCAGGAGGACATGAGTTCAAGTCTCATCTGTGACACCTACTAGCCAACTCACCTAGCAATTCAGCGCCGTGGGCAACTTCTTAAACTATAAGTTGTAGAACAGATGCTAGTCTATATTGGTACAGGGAGTTTCTTCAGCAGAAATTCCTTATGACATTACATATGAAATTCCAGTGACATTATAGGTCCTGTCCAATCATTCCACTTACCCACTCCCACCCCCCAAAAAAGAAAAAAAACAAACCCAGAATTTGGGTTCTTTTTATGGAGGTCATTAGAAAGGAGTGAAAGAGAAACATTAATCAGAAGACTGAATTGGTGAATTCCTACCCCTCAGTAAAATGAAGGTCTGTGTTAAAGATACTGAATAAAATATCATTGTCCCCCATGTGCCAGTTTTCATGTTTATTTCTTTGACTGAAGAGTATTTTGATTCTAGAATCCATCAAGGTATGGTAGATAATCTGCTGAGTTTGGAGTCCCAAAGATCCGACTTCCAGATTGTATTCTGGGAAAAGTCACTTAACCTGTAGGTGCTTTAGACTTCTCTCAAGGATTTATTGACTGAGTCAGAGAGATTGTGATCTCTATTGCTGGAGGGAGTTTCCACACTGGGAGATCCTCATGCTGACAAAAATCACAGATCCTCCTTTTATTTGCATTTAATTTTATTTTGATTTAAAATATGTCTATTAGTCTTAGAGGGCAACTGTGAGGTAAAACCCCAATTTGATTATATTCCCTGTCAGGCCTACACATCTCTCTATGCTATTTGGTGAAAAGCTCTAAACATAAAGGTCTCAGTTGCACCATGCCCCATGAGTGAGCTTAGACTATGTAAAAAGGATAATCACAGCATCTTCCTCACAGGCTGTTGTGAGATTGAGTGGAATAATGTGTGTAAAACTGCCTGTAAACCATAAAGCACTGTATAAATGGAATCATCATCATCATCATCATTATTATCATTATCATTGAAAGGCAACTTGGGACCATGGAAGTAATGACCATACCAGGATTCAAGTCCTTCATGACACATACTGACTGTGTGATCTTGGGCAAATCATTTAATATCTCTGTACTCTAGTGAACTCTCTAAAACTAAGTTTCAGTGAAGGTGCTGACCTACACTTCAGTAGAGGGAGTTTTCTCATCTGGGAGGTCTTTAAACTATTGAAATCACTGGTCCAGTTCCTATTCTTATCCGCATAACAATAGAGATATTATTATACAATAACTTTGGATGTCAACCACATTTAATCAATCAACAAACATTTATTGAGGTCCTACTATGTGCACTGGAGATACAAATACAAAATTATCTTTATTGTTCTACTCCTCTTGTCCCCTGTCTCCCCAATACTGTAACACATATTGAAAAAGAAAACGAAAAAACACCCCACCCAGTTTCTCAGGGGTTTGGCAACATGCAGCTTACCTTCCTGCTGTACACTTTGAGGAATTTAAGCATTTGGTTGTCTAAAAGATCAATCAAACAATGATTTCTTTCCATGTATGCTCACTTAAAATATCAATGGAAAGTCAACAGTCTGAACACAGTATGTGCTCGATAAACTCTTCACAAATGAGTAAATGAAAGTACAGCCTTGCTCTCACCAAGAACTCAAAAAGCTCACAAGACAGCTAGAGGCAATAATGAAAATGGTATTTCTATTTTAAAATCTTGTTTACATTTTGTTAGAAATGTTCAGCTCTGGGTAAGGACTACAGGCTCTGTGTGAAAACGGTTTCTGAATAGCCCTCTTGTGGGAGTTGTCGGTAAAGTTACAGGTTGTAAATGATACTAAGAGAAGAAATTCTGTCAAGTAAAAAGTTGAATCATGACTTCTGAAGTCTCTTCCAATTCTGAGGTTTTAAGAGTCCAAGTATTCTGTAAAGGGTATGACCAATAGGATTCCAGTGATATTTTTCTTCTCTATTTAGTGTGTGTGTGTGTGTGTGTGTGTGAAGACCATTGATGAGGTTTACAAATGATGGGTTGTCTCAGTAATGAATTGATTGTCAAGGTAATTAACACCTTGAAGCTGTGGCTTCAAGGCTAGTCATATGCCTGAACTGCACAGCCTAGGACTTAGCTGGAGATAAACAGCAAATTGGAGATAGAGACATCCAGGGAGGAGAGGGCCCGAATGGAGATTAAGACTTTGTTCCCTGTCATTCTTGGAGCCACAGAGTTCTCTGCACCAGCCACAGGGATATGCATGCCTCCCCTCCAGAGAACTAAGGCAATGGTGGAGCAACGAAGGAGTTTTTAGGACCCAGTAAAAGATGTAACTGAGCACAATAGGAAATAAAGCAATGGTGTGGGAGAGGAAACTTGGACTCTATATTTATTGGTACAGTGAGTCACGTGGATTGTGTACATCTAGAGGAGGGTGTTGGTATCAATCTTCATTGATACCAAGTACTTTCCCTGGTCAAAGAAGCCCACTCAGGGAAACACTATGTGGCAGAAAACGTAGAGATCCTTGAAGTTGGAATAACCTAACACCAGTTTTGAGGACTGTATAGGTCTCTGAGGCCAACTAGAGAGTGAAAGGATATTGCCTTGCCTGTGTACAGGCTTACATATGAGTTTTTTGCTATGTCAAAGCCCCCCAAGATGACCCTCAGAGGCCATCTAGCCCAACTTCTTCATTTTACAGATTAGGAAACTGAGGCTCAGATAAGTTACAGTGAAGTATCCCATATATGCTCAGATTCTATTCTTTCCTTCTCCCTACCCCTCTTCCCCCGCAAAAAAACTCTCTTCTCATAGATATGGAATAGGTTGGGCAAAAATCTTAGCAATTATTCTCTGGTTTTGGTTTTGTTTTTATGGGGGGGGAGCTAGAACTGTGAGTTTGTCAGTATGGGGAACTCCTGGTATGGAAATCCCTTCCTCCAAAGCAGATTGGCAGTTTATTTGCAATGATAATCTTAGAGTTGGGGGGGAAAGGCTGTACCGAGAGGCTAAATTACTTTTCTATGGTCACCCAGCTAGTATGTATCAGAGATAGGGCTTGAAATCAAGTCTTCGTGACTCCAAATTACGCCATCTTGCTTCTTTCCTATGTACAACGAATTATCTGAACTTACTGATGCAATATCATAAAAAGCAATATGTTCCAAATTTATTTTTGCTTTTTCACTTGACGGACACATATTTTATATAAACACACACATTTTACATATACAGGTTAAAGCACTTTGAAATGGTACAATGTTATATATGTGTGTGTTTATATATGTATGTATATATTACAGTGTATATATATGTGTGTGTGAATATACATATATACATATACATATACACATAAATTATATATGCACACATATATAGGTATATATAAATAAAAAACCCATTTCAGGGTGTTTTCACATGTTACAAAGATCTTATTTGATCTTCTCAGCAATCACACGTAATAGGAAGGGCAGGATTTGTCCTATTTCATAGATGAAGAAACTGAGGCCATATTCCTAGCTAGTGGTGGAAGGAGGACTAGAACCCAGATCTCTTGTCTTTTGGTCCCGGTCTACCTAACTCACAGGGTGGTTGAAGGTAAGTAGTTTACAAATCTTCAGGTGGTTCAGAAATATTAATTATTTTGGAATGTTTTGTTTCAAACCATGCATTCAGGAACTCCTGTCTTATGCTATTGATTTCTTCACCAACAAATATTTATAAAGTGCCTACTATGTGCAAGTCAGTGTGTTAGGTTCTGGAGGGTGGTGGTAGTAAAGAGATAAAACAAAAATTAGTTCATCCAGCTCACGTAGCTAACTGACCTTTTATAAGTGTCTGAATCACTTCCTTGTGGCCCATTTCACAGGCTCGGAATAGAGGAGTGTGCTTCATGACGTCTGTAGCATCCACCTGAGCGTGATGGTCCAGTAATAATTTCACAGTGCTGACATGGCCAGAAAGGGCAGCTGCATGTAAAGCTAAGAAAGAAGTGAGAAAGTTACTAATAAAATCATGAGAGGCAGCCTTACTTTCTCATTGGTATAAATATATATATGTATGTATATGTGTATATATATGTGTGTGTGTGTGTGTGTGTGTGTGTGTGTGTATGCATGTATTTTTTACCCTAATTTCCAAATCCAATGGATCTTTATGGTTCCTTATTATCATCTTAGTTACTACCACTTCTCATCTTTTTACTCATGAGTATCACTTAAGAAGTCACTTCCTTCCTTTTCTTTTTCCTTTTTTTATCCTCACTATTCTTGTCTATGTGGTTTTGTTTATTTGAAACATTCACCTCTTTTAAGTTATTATTCACTATCTTTTCTTCCCCCATTATCCTTTAGAAACACAATTTCTTTAGGAGCCGGAATTACACGTAACCCCAAATAGAAAATTGTAAGGCAAAAAAGTCTTAACATATTTCATGGATGTCAAAGACAGAAACAAAGGTCCAATGTATAAAAAAATTCATATTTACCAGTCTTTGTGGTAGCAAAGAACTGTAAACCAAATAGATGCCCATTGATTGGAGAATGGCTAAAAAAACCCAACCACACCAACAACTACAATATATGACTATGATGGAAAACTATTGTGCAATGAGAAATAATAAATATGAGAAACCTAGTGAAACTCGGGAAGATATGTGTGACCTGATGCTAAGTTAAGTAAGTCAAACCAAGAGAATAGTATATGCAACAATGACAACAATGTAAGTGAAATGATCACCAAATGGGAGTTAAACCCCAAGTACTGGCCAAAAACCAACCAAGGTACAAAGAGAAGAAATAACAAAATACACCTTGTCCTCACAAGAGAGAGGTAGAGGACTACAATGGCAAAATATTTTAGGTATTTTGTCATGCAAGGTTTCTGCATGATGATTTTGCTTAATTATTTGGTTTATTTTTTGTCTCCATTTTGCCTCCTGTCTCTGGATAGGACCTGCAATTTTGTTAATGAATGGAACTCCTTCTCCCGATATATATTAGTATCTTCTTAGAAAGTCTTTTAGTCTTGGAGAGTTGCTTTCAGGCACTGACTGGTTAAGCAAATTGCCTAGGGTCACAAACCTAATAGGGATAGGTGGCAGGACTTCAATTTAAGGGCCTAGGCTGACTGTCAATCTACTACCAACTGCGGCTGCCTCAGTCTCTCTTTTAAATTATTCCCTTACTTGTTTTCCTTTGTCATAATCGATGGGGTCAATTTGGAAGTGGGGCAGGAAAGAATTTTGACTGAAAGGCAAAGGGTATCAATTATACTAATTATATATTTAATCAACATTAATGAATAATTAATATATTAATTGTATCAATTAGTTTACGTTTATATATATATTTAAAAACAATCCCACTTCAACACAGATATTTGCCAAAAATATCTTGAAGAACAGAAGACTAAATCTGGAATGGACTGTGAAGGTCATCTAGTCCCCATTTTACAGATGAGGAAAATGAATCCCAGAGATGGGAAATAACTTTCCTAAGGTCAGACTTTTAATTACTGTTAGAGGTAGGACTAGAACCTCTATCATTTGACTCCAAGTTCAATTTTCCGCTGCAATGCTTTATACATACTATGTGGGAACTGTTCCAAGTATTATTTTAAAATTTCCCTTTAAAGTCTGCTCTGAAGCTATGAACAGCATATAAAATCTGGGACAGAGTCACAAACTTTTGACTGGTATTCTTGGCTGGCTTATCAAATAAACTTCTTAAGGGTAGGGGTTGTTTAGTTTTTTTTATGTTTATATCCCAGTGTTTAGCACATAGTTGGCATTTAATAAATGCTTATTGATTGATTTGTAGAGCTACAGGTTTTGGAATAAAGGAGAGAGCCAGGGGAGAATTTTTTTTTTTGACAGGGTTATGAGGGTTTGGTGATCTTGGGCGATACTTACTATGCTTATGTGTATATGTGTACATTTGTGTTTTCCCAGGGGAATTCTTGTACTATGCAGTGAGTTGCCTTAAGTCTTGGTCACGGAAAAGAGCCAGTACTAATTGTGTCCTCTGCAACACCTTCTAATCCTCCCACTTTTCTCCTGGATGTGCTTGTTTCAGGTATTAAGGGACCCTAACATAATATTAAGGGACCCTAACAGCTAACATGGGGCTATGACACCAGAGAATGTTTTGACAGATTTGTTGTTGTTCAATCTTTTTTTTAACTGTTTTCTACTCTTCATTACCCCATTTGCGGTTTTCTTGGTAAGGATACTGGAGTGATTTGCCATTTCCTTCTCCAGTTCATTTTGCAGATGAGGCAAACAAGGTTAAGTGACTTGCCTAGGGTCACACAGCTAGTGTCTGTGGTCAGATTTAAATTCAGGAAGATTAATCTTCCCAATTCCCAGCCCAGTGCTCTATCCACTGTGCCACCTAGTTGCCTTTTGATAGATACCTTACTCAGGGGACCTACAAAGAAGGCAGGTTTATATTTAGAAGTTAGGGGCCAGGTAAACTTCCCTGGAAAATGACAATTATGGCATGTTCACTCAGTCCAAAGGTATTACACTTCTTCATTATTTTCTTTTCTCATCCAATCCATAAGTTCTTACCTGTACCTCCATATTTGTCTGTCATGTTGATATCAATGTCCAATTTTAAGCTCAGCATTGTCCGAAGGACATCATCACTGCCTTTTCCCGCTGCCCACATAAAGGATGTCCTTCCCTCGAGGTCTGAATCATCCTTCACAGAGGGATGTTTCAAAAACACTTCCACTGTCTCCTGTAAGAAAACTTCACTGAGTGAGCATTTAACATAATTGCTTTGTTATGACAAAAAAAGTTATGCAGTATACAATGTGAATACTTTTCTTAAGGGTCTCCCTCTCTTTTTTTTTCCCCTTTATCAACCACAAATTCTATTAAGAGTTATAATCCTTAATACCTATACTGTACTGTATGTGATAGACTAGGGCAGGTGTGGCCCTCTAGGTCCTCTAGTGTGGCCCTTTGACTGAATCCAAACTTCACAGAATAAATCCCCTTAATAAAAGGATTTGTTCTGTGAAGTTTGGATTCAGTCAAAAGGTCGCACCCAAGCACCCAGAAGGCCACATGTGGCCTCCAGGCCTCAGCTTCCCCACCCCTGGACTAGAATTTTCCTATTTTCCTACAATAAGGAAAAGGCAACAAAGTTGTCCCTGGGACTTGAATGGCCTGTACTACCCTTGATGCAGTATCCTGGTTACCTAATGTCAGAAAAGATCCCATTTACTGGGAATCGGGGCCCCTCTGGCTTGGTAGATTTGGGAAGACTATGAGAGTCATGTTACCCTGTCCTGTTACCAGATACAGTTCCATAGAGGGGGTGCTGCTTCCAGAGAAGTTAAGTGCCATCGTATTCTTGTTGCATATCCTTGCTGTGTTAGGATAAAATAAATCTCCTTTTGTTATTGTAAATGCCTCATTTTGTACCAACATGGGACAAAATGGTAGTTAACACCCCTTATATTATACTGTACTATGCTACACTATTCTGGTGGTATGCTGTAGTGAATAGGGAAGTGGCCTCAAAGCGAGAACTAGGTTTAAGACTTCCCTTGGAAACATACTGGTTGTATACCCTGGGGCAAGTTACAAACTCTCAGTGCTCTAAGAAACTAAGGTGGTTCTCACCCTTTCTGATCTCAGGCCCCCCTTACACTTTTAAATATTACTGAAGACTCACTAAAGAGCTTTTGTTTATATGAGCTATATCTATCAGTATGTATTATATTGGAAATTAAAACATCTTGGTATTATTATGAAAAGTTTTGACCTCATAGACACTACTTTATGAGTTGCAGAGAAGGTGCATACCTGTTCTGGTGGAGAGAATTTCCTTACCTACAAGTTCCCTATTCCACAAATCTAGTCCTTACTCCTATTTATATCACACCATAAATCTCTGTAGCATTTTTCAAGCATTAGTTACTCCCCTCACTCAAAATCCTAGTGTTAAGCATCTGTAAAGAAGGCAAATGGATATAGTTAAAAGAACACTGGACCTCAAATCAGGAGAGATAGATTCAGATCTTGCCTCTTCTACTAACTAGGCTGCTGACCTTGTATAGTTCACTTCCTCTTTCTGGGCCCTAGTTACCTTCTCTGTAAAAATGAGAGTTGGATTAAATGACCACAAAGGTACTTTCCGCTTGCTTTAAACACCAGGAATCTAAGATTTAAGAAGCATCATTCCTGATCATGGGTGGGGAAATAAGATCAAACAACAGTTCATAGAATCATAGACTATCAGATTTGGAAGGGTCCTCAGAGGCCATACAAGCCAACCCAGATCTGAAAAAGAATCCTCCCAATAGCACACCTGACATGTGGTCATCCAAGTGAGAGCCACATGAAACAAGCCATTTTACTTTTAGGCCGATCCAATTATTAGAAATTGAAGGACTCAAGGAATAATCAGTGTGTCACAGATAACTGTAGTAAGCCCCCCTACACTCAAAGATGCTTAGTGAGCACCAATTTCAGGCATATAGGGCAATAATGAAATATCCCAATGGGAAACAATTCTCAGCAGCACTGAATGAGTCATTTGAGCTTTAGGCTAGAGACGTTTAAAGCTTCACTAAGACTTTTATGTGTATACACACACACACACACACACACACAGAGCTATACTTTAGTAATTCAATACTTCAGAGAATCGATGATTTCATTAGTGAGGGTATTCCCTCCATTGGGAGAAGATGGCAGCCAACTCACAGCTTTTAATTCTTGTCCATATTCTTCCACAAATCCTTGACTGGATCTATCCAATATCCTTCCTCTAGGTCTTTAAACATTCCATGGGTACTGCTACAACACCCAGGCTGTCTGACTAATTATTATTCTTTGTTCTCTACGATTGGTCCACCTTTTCGTGGTCATACATCCCCTCAACAATATTCTATACCTCACTTAATGTACAGGTCATTCTTGGAACCACGTGGCAGCTTATGTGTCTTTGGGTCACTTCTGCTTCCTGACTTCTTTCAAATCTCAACTGAAGTTCCACCTTCTAAAAGCAAGATTTTCCCACCCCCTTTTAATCTTCGGGCCTTCCTTCTGAGAAGGTTTCCAATTGATCTTATCTATATCTTGGTCGCACATAGTTGTTTGTATGTTGTCTCCCTCATTAGACTGAGTTTCTTGAGGACAAGGGGCTCATTTTGTTTTTGTTTTTTGCTTTTCTTTATATCCCTAGAGCTTGGGACAGTGACTGGCCCATAATATGTACTTGATAAATTTGAGCCTGAAACTTCAATTCTTCAGACTTATGGTGTTCCAAGATTTGTAGCTATGCAGCATCACTGGACTGGGAGAACATTTGTGTTAAAAACATAAGTTTTTGTGCTGTGGAATAACTTGGGAACGTTAAAGTTATTGTAGTTTCCTAAATGTAATCTAACCTGCTCTCCTTTTCCCATTCAGTTCTGGATACAACCCCCTTATCTATGTACAATGCCTGACCCAAACTAACTCAATGGACTGGCTTTCCAACTGCATGTCATAGTGTGGATAAAAGTCTTTTTCATCCATTTAGTTTTTCCTGAATGGATTTTTGGTTGCACTCTTTTTAGAAATCATGTATAACATTGAGGAGGCCCATGAATGTTCTGGGCCTTGATGCAATTAACATAATCTTATTGTAAAGTGAAGCACCTATAGGACTCATTGCCTGTGTGACCTTGGACAAATCACTTCATCTTTATGGGCCTCAGTTTCCTCATCTGCAAAATGAGGATTTTGGGCTAGTTGACTTCTAAGGTCCCTTTCATCATGGGATCATGATCCTACAACACCATCTATTGCAGGAGTTCTTAACCTTCTTTTTTTTTCCATCATGGACCCTTTTGGAAGTCTTGTGAAGTCTAAGGACTCTTTCTCAGAATCAGATTTTTGAAAACATAAAATAAAATATGAAAGTTACAGAGGAAATAAATTATAATGAAATATAGCTATCAAAATATTTTAAGTAAACTAAATCTATGGATGATAGATTAAGATCCTCAACTCCAAAGTGAATCCCACTTCCATTTGGACTTTGTACATGAAAGCCTCTATTACAATAGTGAACCCTTTAGGTGAGCATATATGGTTTCATTTTATGTCTCACTTGATGTTAATAATCAGAGAATCACAGCAACAGCTATGTGGTTGCATTTATCAAGGGATCTTTCATGATCTTAACTTATCCATGATGGCCTCCATAATGGGGAGGAACCTTTAAAATTATATTTTACTCTATCAAATCAAATGCCTTTTTCATATATGATCAACAACAACAAAAAATACACACACAAACATAGTTTCTTTACCTTTCAGTCAATTATGTGACTGTAAAAGATGTGGACTTTTGAAGAAAACACTTATATAATATAATATTAATGTAATGATATAATAGTATGAAGAATATTTATATAATAAATTATTTATCTCGGTTGTAGAGGAAGGATAATTTTTTAAATTCACAAACAGAAGGGATTGTTCAGTACAAAATAGATGTGCTTTATGGAGTGAAATAAATAATAATGGCTGACATCTACGTAGTGCTTTAAAGTTTGCTAAGTGCTTCATACATACCATCTCATCTGATATTTATAATAACCTTGTGAGGTAGAGGCTATTATTATACTCATTATGCAGATGAGGAAATTGAGGCTGAGAGAAGTTAAATGACTCTTCTAGGGTCATACATCTAGTAAACTTTTGAGGGCACATTTAAACTCACACAGGTGTTCCTGACTGAAAGTCCAATACCAGATCACTTAGCTGCCACTAAAACTGCTTCATATGAAAAAAACAACCACCAGATAATTTAAAGAAATAGTAGATTGGAAAAATTTGTGACACATGATCAACTAAAAATTTGTCATTTTAAACATGCAAGTTATCATTAAAAAGTCACAGTGGTAATTCTCAGACCATAATGAGTAAGTGGTCAAAGGATATGAATAATTTTCAAAAGATGAAATAGAAATTAATAGTTATTTGAAAAAGTACCCAAATTTACTAATAATCAAAGAGATGTAAATTAAAACACCTTTGAAGTTGCCACCTCATATCTACCAAATGAACACAGATAATTAAAGCACCAAAATTCAGGGCTGGTGAGGTTGTGGAAGAACAGGTATAAAAAGAAATTCTAGAATTACTGCTAGAATTTCAAACTTGTAAAATGTTTTTGGGTGAGCAATCTGGCAGGACATAATAGGATTTTAAAAAATAATCATATCATCTGACCTACAAGTCATGGTTCATTAATATGATGGAAAATAATGCAGTTAAGTACCAACATGTATGAGGATCAAAAAAGAAAACTGGAAAAATCCATATGAAATAATACAAAGTGAAAACACAGAACCAAAAGAATGGGATATGCACTAACTACAATCACATAAGATGAAAAATTAATGAGAACGAATAGACAAAAAATCCTGATGAGGACTGAAACTGAAAATTTATTATGATATTTTCTGCACTGAAATGAATTAAATCAAATGTAATTAGTTACAAAGCAAGTTTGGTTGGTTGTATTGATGTTTGACATTAATCTTTTAACAAAATATTTAAAAATGAGGTAGTCTACTGTACAAAATTGTTTGCAAAAGCCTGTTTACTTCTCATATTTCCATTAGTTATGTGTGTTTAGATAATTCTCATAAAGATTTTATAAAGATGGAAGATAGGAATAAGACTTGATAGTTAATAATATCACCTTTTGGGGGACATTAATATTATTAT